AAACCCTACAAATGTGAAGAATGTGGCAAAGCCTTTAATCGATGTGCAGACCTTACTAAACATAAGATAATTCATACTGGAGAGAAACCCTACAAATGTGGAGAATGTGGCAAAGCGTTTACCTGGTGCTCATACCTTAATATACATAAGAGAATTCATACTGGAGAAAAACCCTACCAATGTGAAACATGTGGCAAAGACTTTAAACATTACTCAGTCCTCACTAGACATAAGAGAATTCATACTGGAGAGAAACCCTACAAATGTGAAGAATGTGGCAAAGACTTTACACGGTACTCACTCCTCACTAGGCATAGGAGAATTCATACTGGAGAGAAACCATACAAATGTGAAGAATGTGGCCAAGACTTTGCCCAGGGCTCACACCTTAGTACCCATAAGAGAGTTCACATGAGAGAAAACCTTCAAATGTGAAGAATGTAGTAAAGTCTTTAAATATTGTTCAAGCCTTTCTTATCGTAATTCATATAGTAGAGAAGGCCTACAAATGCGCAGAGTGTGGGAAACCCTTTAAGTTATGCTCGTGTCTCTAAACAAAAGATAATACATACTGAAGAGAAAAGTTATGAAAGTGAACAATGTGGCAAAACCATTAACTAGCACACAAATATTTATAAACATAAGAGAATTCGTGCCATAGAGAAACCATACAAACGTTAAGAATGCAACAAAGCCTTTACCTGGTCCACTTCCCTTACCGTGTATTAGAGAATTCGTGCCTAAAAAAAATCCTACCAGGGTAAGAAAAGCAAGAAAGCCTGCTCACATATTACCTGCCATCAGAGAGTCATTTTGAGTAATGGTGATATAAGTGTAACAACTGCGAAAATACCTTTCAGAAACTAAAAGTGTTAGAGTGTACCAGAGTATTTATACAGAGAAAAAAAATGTCATAACTATAAAGAATGGTACAACACCTTTATTTCTATCACAGATCTTCTTGTGCCCAGGAAAATTTATACTGAAATGAAACCCTACATCAACTGCTCAAACTTTAAGTTCAGAGAATTTGGATTTGAGAGAAACTCTACAAATGAATGCAAAAAACGTTTGTTCATAAAACACAACTTGTAAAACAGAACTTGTACTTTACAGATGCCATATGTGAAAAAAGTTAAGAAAAAATCAAGTCTAAAGATCTGAGGATTCACAGTAGAAAGCACTAAGGCACTAATATTTTCAGACATTACCCTAAAGCAGTGTGTAAGTTATATATAATAACTTAACATTAAAATTAGATAGTTTAAGTATATGTATGTTTAAAAGGAGCATAAAATTGATTTTTATCTCACAGAACTTGGAAAAGTTACTAACTCTCCAAGCTTCAGTTTATAAACTAACCAAATTGCCACAGAAGCCCAATCATTTTTCAGGGTCTTAGGCTCTGTGGCCCCACCAGCTCCTATGCAACTGTCGGGCCTCTGCTCGGCGCCCAGGCTCCGTAGGGAGCAGAATCCAGACAGAGGGCTGCGCAGCGGTACAGGTCAAGCTGCTGTCCCCACGTTGTGCCGCCCTGGCACGGACTCCCATGGATCCCACGAGTAGTGCAAAGTGGGAGCCCCCGCCCCACATGGGGATTCAGGGACTCAGCTTGGAAAGACGTACGGACTGCCTGAGCTATGTAGCTCTGCCCGTTGCTCCGTGGCTTTTGGGGCAGCCAGGGGATCCAGGGCGGTTCTTTAGGGCGGCAGCAACCTCCGAAGCGAAGCCTTGGGGAGGGGAGGGAAACCATGTGCCCCAGGGGGCCTCCCGCTGAAGGGCTGGGGGGACTGGCCCCACCCGGGGCACACCCCACTGTGGCTTCTGCCCAGATTCTCCCCCAGAGCCTGCCAGCCTCTGGCACTCTATGCTGGACCCTCAGCCCATTTCAAGGTTCTGCACAAAATAGGAGTCCAAGTCCGAAGGCGGCAAGGCGGATCGGGTGCAGCACGCAGTTCATGACCACGGAGGCTGCAGTTTATCAGTTCTGATTTCATGCTGAGATCCTTGCCACACCAATTTCTACTTGTTGTGGCTTCCAGGAAGTTCCTTCCCTTCTGTGAGACTGGGTTTCCTCATCCGTCAGACAGGGCTAGTTTGAATCTGGGGATCCAGTGAGAGCGCGGGTGGGAAGAGCACCGCTCCTGCACATGAAGGCGGAGTCCCCGCCTCGGTTAGGGCTTCCCTGAGATTCTTAGGGATGCAGTGGGAGGTGGAGCTCAGTGGGCAGGCCCAGTCCCAGGAGGTAAGATCCAGTCCCCAGCCCTAAGCAGGCTCTGCCCTGGTGTCCCCTCCAGAAGCAATTGCTAAATGGCAAAGGCTTCCCCTGGGAGGAGGGAGAGATGGGGTGGGGAGGGCGTCCTTCTTCCAGGGCAGGTGGAGGAGGAGCTGGAAAGTGGGACCCACGCAGCTAGGGAGCCAGGCGGGGTGGGGGCTCCTGGTCGCTTGGCTGTGAGTAGAGTGGACCCCTGGGGGCCCCGCCCTGCGTGTCACTGATGTATTCCAACCGTCCTAGTCATCCTAGACCCTGTCACAGCAGTCCCTCTGAGCTGCGCTCCAGGCTCATTCTGCTGCCTCCTTCCAGCCTCACTTGACAAATTGGAAGAATCCCAGACAGTGAATGCTCTGGAGGCCCTGCTGACTTAGGGCACTGCAGGGCTACACCAGAGCAAGGAGTCCCCACCAACGATGCTCCCCTCTACAGCTGGGGTTGGCAAATATTTCCTGTCAAGGCCAAGGTAGTAAATACTTTAGATTCTGAGGGCCCTCCAGTCTCTGTCACAACCACTCAGCACTAAAAGAAGCTCTAGGCAGTGCAGATGTGAATGGGTGTGGCTGTGCTCCAATAAATATTTGTCTATGGACACTTAAATTGAATTTAGTATCACTTTCACGTCATTAAATGTTATTTTAATTTTTTCAACCATTTACAAATGTAAAATTTGTCCTTAACTCACAGGGCCAAACAAAAGTAGGCAGAGGTCCAATTTGACACTCAGGCCACAGTTTGCAGACCCATGACCCAGATTTTGACATACATATATATTTTTTAAATGGTAGGGAAGTGGAGTATGGATTAACACCTTTGACTTTTGGCCCACATGCTGTGAGTCAGTGAGTGCCAAAGGAGGAGAGATGACCCAGAGGTCAGTGTGGCCCACCTGAGAGCTCAGGCTGGCTTGTAGGGTAGGCCATTCATTTTTATACTCCCCAAACTCCACCTTCTTTCTGTCAGTAACATCAGTGGGAGATGGGACAAGTCAAGAGATGGAACTTCCAGGGCAACCAGATCAAGGGTTTGTCCTTCAGTAGAACAGAAAGACTACGTCAAAGGAAGGGGCATGAGCCAAGGTGGGGCCCAAAGCTGACCTTGAGAGATGGTGCCCAGGCAGTGAAATAAGTACTTGAGATGTGGGGCCTCCACTGGCCATTTAATGAGCCCATCCATGGTCAGTGAGTGGGGCCATCCTCCTGACTGTGGGCAGGTCAGCCCTCCAGGCCCCTTCTCTGGGCTCTGCCACTGCAGAAATCCCTACAGGCCCTGGTGAAGTGGATGGTGTGTTAAAGCCCTATTCCCTTCAGCAACTTTCAGGAGGCTGCATGGCTCTGGGAGGCACCAGAGTGTGCTGTTGCTGCAGGAGCTGCAGCCTGAGTAGAAGACACAGCAGCAGAAGCACAGCGTGAGAAGCAGGTGCAGGCCCCACACTGGGGCATCCTCAAGGGGGATGAGGGCTGGGACATACCCAGGCAGTCATCAACCCTGAGGGCTCAGCACTGTGGCCCACGAATGAAGGAAGAAAAGCCATGATGGAGGCTGAAGAGTGCGTGTAGAGTGTTGGGGGCCAGAGAGGAAACATCAGACCACCCCCATATTCTCCTTGAGTCCACTGTGAGTGGTGCCCACCTTGCAATTTGGCACATGGGCAGGCACTTCTGCCAGGTCTTCTCACACTGCAAGGGGATCCGCATCCTGCAGTCCCTGTGGTGGGGAAGAAGCTCCTCTCCAGCAAAGTGCCTGCATTTTGCCTGCAGCAAAAGTGATGGACTCTTACTCCGAAACTTAATCTTACTCTTAAAAGACTGTGACTTTCCTTTTAATTTTATTCTCTCTTGCATATCTCTGTCTCTCACTCACTCTCTCTGCCCCCTCCCTCCCTCTGTGGTATACATTTCTCTGGGGAAGCAAGGTCCAATCTTTTGAGCTTCCCTATTTGTAGACTCATGTGGCAAACAATGAAAGGGTTGTCCTGACCAATAGACAGAAAGGAAATCGGGCCTCATCCCAAACTGATACACACTAACAACACACCTGATTGAGCTGTGGAGCAACTTCTCTCCCTGTTGAGCCTCAGTTGAGACCACAGTCCAGCCTCATAAAAGACATTGAGGTAGAGACACCCAGCTAAGCCATGACCAGATTCCTGGTCCACAAAAGTCTTGACATAATACACATTTGGAGTTTGAAGCCACTACATTTGAGATAATGTTGTTAGAGAGTAACAGATAATGACAACCTGTCAGGCCACAGCATCTGACCCTGCCGTCTTCCCTCCCATGTCATCTCCTCCCAGGCTTGATACAGCCACACTGGCTGCCTTTCTAGTCTCCTCTGGCCACACGTCTTTCTGTCTACACACTCTGCACGAGAAGTGCCTTCTCCCTGACACACTGTATTAGGGTTGTCCAGAGGGACAGAACCAATAAAATGTAGACATAAATATATAAGAGGAGATTTATTATGGGAATTAGTTCAAATGATTATGGATACCAAGCAGTATCACAACATGCCCTCTGCAAGCTGGGGAACCAGTAAAAAGCTGGTAATGTAGCCCAGTCCATGTACAAAGGTCTGAGAAAAAGGGAAGCCAGTGGTGTAACTGCCAGTCCAAGGCCAAAGACCTGAGAACCAAAGGGGCCTGCTGGTGTAAGTCCCAGTGTCTAAAGGCCTGAGAATGAGGAGCTCTGATGTTCAAGGGTAGGAAAATATAAATGACCCAGATCTAGAAGAGAAAATTCAGCTTCCTTTACATTTTCATTCCGTTTGGGCCCCCAACAGATTGGATGATGCCTGCCCTAATTGAGAGGGTGGTTCTTCTTTGCTTAGTCTACTGATTCAAATGCTAATCTCATCAGCAAGCACCCTCACAGACACACCCAGATATAAGGTTTTATAGCCATCTCAGCATCCCTTAACACACTGAAGTGAGCACATAAAATAACCCTTACAGTCTACCTCTTGTCACCTTGGTACCCATGTGTATCTCTTTAAGCTGTACTTAATCTATAAGTAAAAACAATAACAAGGTCATGATTCCACCTACTATGATACAACTATCCTGTGTATAACTGAGAACCCAATTATCACTTCCCCAGTAGAAGAGGTAAAGTTGTTGAGCGATGTTTACTTTCCTCCTGATAACTGGTAATTTAAATAC